AATGATACAAATAAAAGATTAGATTAAATCAAGTTGAGTCTTGCATTTAATAGGTTCTGACTCAACTTTCACCCTAATAGATGCAATACGTCTTCACGACAGTGTTAGGTTAGGTAACACGAAGCTAGGTACACAAGCTGTGGATCAATTCACTTTGTCATGTGCTATATGCTATTCCCAAATGATACAAATAAAAGATTAGATTAACTCAAGTTGAGTCTTGCATTTAATAGGTTCAGACTCAACTTTCACCCTAATAGGTGCATTACGTCTTCACGATAGTGTTAGGTTAGGTAACACGAAGTTAGGTACACATTATCAGAGCACAACTATCCACATTGCCATGTGCTATCCTAAACGAAATTACTAAAAGATTAGATTAGGTCGAGTCATGAAACAGGTCCAGATTTCCCGCCACAAATTAGATTTACCGACAAGTAACATGATGTTAGACACGCGTTAAACGGGTCCATTACGCAATGAACAGGTGCAAGACCAATTTCGAGCCAGTCACGTGTATTACGTTTTCTAAACAATGATCCGACACGATTGATGAATCTTATCCGTGTCGTCCATCATTCTACACGATCCAGACCGCGTGACGGAACGTCATCGATCATTCAAGAAAAATTTGTGAGAAGAAAAAGAAACCGAAGAGAAATGGCTGTCTGGCGGTCGACAATTTCCGTGGCGCGTGCATTCACGCGATCGCTTGACCCCCGCCCGCGGCATTGACCACTTCACAGCAGCCTAATTTTCATTTATTACGCAATTGATGCAATTAGATACGTCAATCGGTGGGATAATGGAACGGACGAGATAGGCACCGGCCGACAATGCGAAGTTAATCCGACTTCAAGCGACCGGCACGATGAAAACACGCTCGACATGCTGATTCGTTGAACGACCCTGTATACAGGGTGTCCTCACTGACAATTCTATGTTTCAAACTGCCCTTACTCACTCATTTCAAATATCGAGTATCGAAATTTCTTAAGCTTGTGTGACTTTAGTCGCAGACTAATTTCTCTGATAAGATATCACAAGCTATGATAAGTTATTAATAGGAATCAGTTATCAATAAGAGGTAATTCTCGTTAACTATGTATAGTGTGACTTAACGGTATTAGAGTGGAAACTCAATAAGGTTACAAGATTAGAAAATTTTACAATTTTAGAAATTTGGGATTACAGGAGATTAGATGTGTATGAAGTTTCATCATTTTAATCCTCTCAAGGTTTCTCGAACTTTCGAACAATTTCTTAAGCCTTCAAATTCCTGTACTTCTGTAGAGGAGACTATGTTCCTATGCTTAATGTATGGAACTATCAAAGTTCAGAACATCAAGGTTCCAGAGTACCAAGGTTTATAACTCTCGCAAGCCTTAAACTTGCAAAGACATAAATTCTCAAAGTCTCAAACTTCCAACGTTCCAAGCTCTCGAAATAAAAAATTACCCAAGTTCCAAACTCTTGGGGCATCAAACTTGATAAGTCCCAAATTCTCAAAATCCCAAACTTCCAACGTCCCAAACGTGGAAGGTCCCAAATTCTCAAAGTCCCAAACTTCTAACGTCCCAAGCTCTCAAAATAAAAAATTACCCAAGTTCCAAACTCTTGAGGCATCAAACTTGCAAGGTCCCAAATTCTGAAAGTCCCAAACTTGCAAAGCCCTAAATTCCCAAAGTCTCAAACTTCCAAGGTCTCAAACTCTCAAAGTCCCAAACTTACAAGATCTCAAACTCTCAAAGTCCCAAACTTACAAGGTCTCAAACTCTCAAAGCCCCAAACTTGCAAGGTCCCAAATTCTCAAAGTCCTAAATTCCCAAAGTCCCAAACTTGCAAGATCCCAAACTCTCAAAGTCCCACTCTCCCAAGGTCCCAAATTCTCAAAGTCCCAAACTCCCAAGGTCCCAAATTCTCAAAACCCCAAACTTCCAAACTCCCAAACTTGCAAAGCCCAAAATTCCCAAAGTCCCAAACTTGCAAGGTCCCAAACTCTCAAAGTCCCAAACTCCCAAGGTCCCAAACTCTCAAAGCCCAAAACTTCCAACGCCCCAAAGCTTACTACATCAAATTATACTTGAAACCGTATGCCAAGTAAATTGGCATCAACAATGAAACTGTTCCAAAGTCATAGTTATAATTTGCATAATGTCGCGTGCAGGTTATATAAAGTATCAATGGCAGACGAGGAAAACTAAATTGTTGACGCATTTTTGACAGCATAACCGTCGCTAGAGATTGCAGAGCCCAAGGCAGTGCATGTTATTATAAAAATTCCATGTACTAGTGCATGATGTATGACTGCTATAATGTCTGACATATTGTAAGAATAGCTTTAAACTAAAGGACATTAAAGTGACAATCTTCGTAAGGTCCCATAAAATAAGGTGTCCTTAAAGTATTAAGCTTGCTGGACTTTCCTTAATCTTGTATCGATCAAAGGAGATCATAAACGTGGACTTTTTATGTCCTGTTAAGGCTCTATGAATTATAGTTAAAGAGGAGGACCTGGCCATAAACTGAAGAGTTGTAAGTATAAATTAGGGAGTCCTTTAAACCAGAGGACTCTGAATAAAGATTTCTGTAACACCGTAGCCTATTAATTTTTTGCAGTGTCAATCATAACTATAATTTAAACTTAAATATTATCAAAATTATAAACATAGCTAATTATTACTATAATTAATTTTGCATAACCCTATTTGACAATGTTACTAACTTGGTAAAAATGACTAATTATATAAAATGGAATATTTCACTCTTCCCTCGCAACAAGAGGTAATAAAACTATGCCCGAGGAAATGTGCAGTTTCCAAGATGAAGGTAAACATGGCGGACTGTGCTGATATTTGATAATGCCGGAGTACGTACAGCGTGTAAATAACATCCTTTCTTGGAAATATCTACATGTTGATCTACAGTACATGTTGATCTAGGTGGAAGGTAACTTTGGGGAAGATTGTATAATACAATTGAAAACTTTGTATTACATCGCCGTGCGCGAGATACCGTCGCGATATCAGGCGTTTTAATTGATAATGATTTCGCGAGAAAATCTAATGGGAAATGGATTTACATGGCATCGAATAATCGATTCCGCTATCATAAATATTGATGCACGAAGTGCGTCAAACTGCTGGGAACCTTACAGATTTCTGTCACGATACGCGTTAATTTCAGGAAGGAATGCAAAAAATTTATGCGTATTTGCTTACCTTATTAATAGCTGTTCTTTTCGTCTCTGCATATTCTTTTGGAACGTCTGCAAAAAAAAAATGTTTATTACATAGCAATTTTAAGTAATAAATTGTAAGTAACAAATTTATTGCAAAGTAAAACTTAACCCCTTGTTCTTAACGTGACGCACTCATGACGCACACTTTGAGAGATCAACACTCGTATCTTTCACTACAAATGAATTTTTAAGTAATAAATAATGAGTGACAAGTAACAAATTTATTGCAAAGTAAAACTTAACCCCTTGTTCTTAACGTGACGCACTCAGGACGCACACTTTGAGAGATCAAGACTCGTATCTTTCACTACAAATTAATTTTTAGGTAATAAATAATGAGTAACACGTAACAAATTTATTGCAAAGTAAAACTTAACCCCTTGTTCTTAACGTGACGCACTCATGACGCACACTTTGAGAGATCAACACTCGTATCTTTCACTACAAATTAATTTTAAGTAATAAATAATGAGTAACGAGTAACAAATTTATTGCAAAGTAAAACTCAACTCCTTGTTCTTAACGTGACGCACTCATGACGCACACTTTGAGAGATCAACACTGGTATCTTTCACTACAAATGAATTTTTTAGTAATATATAATGAGTAACGAGTAACAAATTTATTGCAAAGTAAAATTTAACCCCTTGTTCTTAACGTGACGCACTCATGACGCACACTTTGAGCGCGATCAACACTCGTTTCTTTCACTATACTCGTATCTTTCACTACAAATGAATTTTTAAGTAACAAATAATGAGTAACGAGTAACAAATTTATTGGAAAGTAAAACTTAACCCCTTGTAAGCGTGACGCACTCATGACGCACACTTCAAACGCGATCAACACTCGTTTCTTTCACTACAAGTGAATTTTTATTTTAATTCTAATTATAGTCTATGTAAAATCGCTGAAAATGTGCTTAACATTTTACCTATCTTAATTGCCATAAAGTTGTAGCATTATCTAGCTACGCATGACGCAAGTGTCCATAAAATTATAGATTAAGGTTAAACACGGCGCCAAATGAAAGAAAACGACAATGTTTTCTGACATTTCTCGATTTGCATTTCTAACGACTTAATTATGATTACAATTGAGTAATTATGATTAGAATTGATAACAACAGAAATTGCTGGTCATTATTATTAGAGAAATAATAACAGTATCGCATTAGAGCTATACATGTGTCACTCAAATAAATGATTACATAGCCTGAATGTTATTCAGATATGCAAGTAAAATGTATCGCAACTGCTAGAACATATTACGCGTTAAGTTCAAGTTTACGTGTTACATTATAAAGTCAAACTATACCATTAACATTTTTACGCAAGGAAAAAAGATTTCGAATCGCTATAACCATTAAAGCTTATCTATACTTCGATTTCTATTTGTCAAAGGTCAATTTTTTTCTTCGCCAATTTTGATTAACGTAGAAAATAGAACGATAAACGTCGTGAGTATTCCTCAAATAGAAAAAATAGTCTCTACGTAGACTGTGCACGTCACTTGTTTCGTAACAACTGATATGGAAAAATTCATTTGACGCTTTATTTTGCTGCGATTACTGTTTTATTGTAAACATTAGTAGATTGGGGGTAAGAGATGTTACAGAGAAGGTTGTTGGAGTATTATGAGTGTGCCATAGGTGCAGAATGTTATGGGTTACAAATTTTTAGGTCTTACAAGATTGAGGTTCATTATGGAGATCCTATGTTTCCCTAACTTCAAAAGTTCCAAAATTCCAATCTTCCAAAGTCCCAAACTCAAAAACTCTACAAACTCCCAAAGTTTCAATCTTCCAATGTCCCAAACTCCCAAAGTCCCAAACTCTCATAATTCCAATCTTCCAAAGTTCCAAACTCCCAAACCCTCAATCTTCCAAAGTCCCAAACTCCCAAAGTTTCAATCTTCCAATATCCCAAACTTCCAAAGTCCCAAACTCCCAAACCCCCAATCTTCCAAAGTCCCAAACTCCCAAAGTTTCAATCTTCCAAAGTCCCAAACTCTCAAATTCCCCAAGCTCCCAAAGTTTCAATCTTCCAATGTCCCAAACTCCCAAAGTCCCAAACTCCCAAACCCCCAATCTTCCAATGTCCCAAACTCCCAAAGTCCCAAACTCCCAAACCC